TGATCTTGTACTTCATTCAAACATTCTATGAAGTGCTAGATTTCAGCTCTTAAACTTAATTTGATGGCTTTTTTTGCGATGGACCAAGAATATTTGATGCAGCTGCAATGATGGAATTTACATTGTCTCATTGGGATCTCATAATGTATTAGGTGTAGGCCTTGAAGCACACCATTTAATGCTTATAATTCCTCTCTTCCAAAATAAATAAGTTTAATTAATGTATTTATTAATGACTATTGATTAATCTATATATTACTGAATGGAGGAAGGATCACAGATTAATTTGAAAAAATAGAGGTGAAAAATACAGCCGAGAAGTCTTGAAAAAACTAATGTGCCAATAAAAGGTCTTGTATTCCTTTAGTTCTAGCAAGGATATTTTTCCATCTTAACTAGAATCTTGAAACAGATCCTTAAAATGTAAATACAGTATTACTTCTATCTATGTTAATTGGTTTCTTTTCTATGGTTCTAGTAAACAATGAATTGTTAATTAATAGAACATGAAAAAATAAAATACCCTGGAAATGAAATTTAAGGTCATAATTTCGTCGGAAGAAGAGTATACATTATGTTGATGTTTGGTGCATTATGTCTGAGTCACAGCACTTGACATGTACACCTTGAATCTTTAGTGAATGTGTAGATAAGCCAAACCAAGCAATGTATCTAGCTGTCCAAATTCTTAAGCATACTTCTTGCTGCTTAACCTTGGCCGGTGAGGAGTATATTTTTTTCAAACTTGGCTAGAGCTAAGCCAATCTTGCTCAAGCTCAGCTCAAAGTTTTTAGATACAATACGGAGTTCCTAATCTTGGATAAGCTTTACGTTGAGAGTCAAAAGAATAGGGGCTTTTGGGTAAAATGTGGGAAAGTAGGGATTTTTTTGTCACGGTGCATTAGAATGGATTCTCACTTTGTCCGTTCATTAGCTTTAACAAAATTGGAGGAGTAAAATTAGCGTAATGACCTGCCTGATATTTGGAATTGGAAAAAAATTCCCACAACCTGTCATGTCGTACTTCAACTCTCTTTCTGCATTACTAAAAATATTTTAGTGTACTCTGGTTTGCCTAGTTTGATTTCTTTCAAATTAGGTTGATTCGTAGAACTTGAACTTTGTTCGTTTAGCTCAACAATCTAAATTTTGTGAGCACCAAACAAAGTGTACTCAAGGCTCCAGCTGCTTGGTTCGTTTAACGGTCGTAACCTTGAGGTATGGTGAATCTTGCCTAGACATGAGCTTTTTGTATGGTTAATTTCTAACAGCCTTCATTTCTCCGTTCAATTTTTGTTGTAGGTTTGGCTCTATGAAACATTTTAGCTCTTTCATAGAGGGCTCAAGTGAGGGATAGGTTATTTGCATATAATTCTTTTTCTTTTGAAAATAATCACTTTAACTTCTTGTAGTTTGTTGAATAAAATATACCGTTTTCGTCAAAATTAATAGTGTGTTACACGTGCCTACGTTTTCAAATAGTAGGGGATTATGTGTATATATATAGGGGTAAAGTGAAGTGTTTAGTTTAGAAAATGAGATTATTTAAGTCTATTTACAAGTAATCATAAATTACAAGGAGTAAATTGTTTATTTTTAAATGACATGGGTAGTATGTGCACATAACTTGTACTATAAAGGGATAAAGTGAAATATTTAATTTTTTTTTTAAGGAGGGGGGAAATAAATTATAAATATGCTCCTTGAAATTTGTTTAGAAATGTAGTTTACTTGTAATTTTAGAAATTACAAATTTCTCCTCATCAGAATTAGTTTATTAACAAAGTTGACGAAAAAAATAAACATAACCCTATTTTTTTTTCATAATTTTTATTACTGTGTGTGTTGATTTTTGACCACACTGCCAACTCAGTATTCAGCTAGAGAGTACTGGCAGAATAGATAACACCAGTCTGACTTGCAACAGAAAGAGAAGATTCCGGCGGTGGTTCATCCACCTGGGGGCACTCCGACGATCAAGTCAGTATATCTCTCAAAGATAATCAATAGTGCTAACTCACTATTCAGAATATAAATTACGTACCTTAGACCCATCGGGGGTGCCTCTCTTTTATAGTTAACCCAATCCTTGTCCCAACAGAAGCCTAGCTTCAATGGACTCTTGCTCAATGCTTATCCAGGACTTTTCAATAGATAGAGATAAACTCCCTAAGAGCTTTATCTTTATCCAGGCTGAGTTCCCTTATCATTCTAGGACTCTCGTGCCTTATCTGCTTATCTCGGATCCCGACTTCTTCGGAGATAACCTCGGCGTCATGACCAGGACACGTGGCACCTCGGCTGACACGTCGGCGTCACCTTGGCCACGTGTTGGTACTCAGAAAATATATCCCCACAACTGCCCCCTAGGTTCTATTACCTCGGCATCCTGAAGTGATGGAACAGTAGGTCGGCTTAAAAGCATCCTAGCCGAGATCATCGTTAAGGCCGACATGTCTCCTTAAAGAACAAGAATTCCAAGAGTTCTTTCACACATATGAGATGTCATTCATTTTAACTCAACCGTTTTATCCACGCGTCCTCTCCTTACTGGATCGTACTCCGTACGCGCTTGTGAGCTGTCTCATGCTTGTGTGCGCCGTCTGAAGATTTCTCCGTTCTAGGCTCATCAATTCCATTTCGCCACCTTTTTGCATTTTGACAAAACTTCCTTCTTCTTTCGTCTTTTCACTTTATCATTGTTATTTCTGAAGCTTTCTCTCTCTCTAGCTTTTTCTCCCTAGTCCGCCATTGTTCAAGCTTTCTTGGCTCCGCAGCTCGCTCCGTTTACCACTTCCGGCAAGATTTTCACCAATCTTCCATCCTTGCAACCGTCGTCCGACTTCGGCAATCCTCATTTCGGCTTCTCTTTTTCCGGTAAGCCTCTGTTCCTCCTGGTTTTATTTCTTGTTGCTCTCCAAGAAATTTTGCTTCATCATTAATCGCCATTGCTGTTTTACTCAAGTATTTGATTTATGAATCTCATATCTGAGTGTGTTTCTATTTCACGACCTTGCTCTTTGCCCATGTCTTGAATACACGCACTGTTCACAACATTTTTTGCACTTTTGCCACTGTTCTTACCCTTATACCCTTTGTAATGTTCTTGACAGTCCATCTTTGTTCTTGATTCTGAAACTCGTTCTTGTTTTCTGTTTTCTGTGTCTTTTCCAGATTTGTGCCTTCAATCTTCGTTTTCATAGATCTAGGTTTGGGATTTGTTTGTAAAACCCACAAATTCTTAGGAAAAAATTGAAACGATCCTTACAAATTCTTGTACCAACACATACCTAGGTTTTTGCCGAGGCCCCAATAACCCTTTCAAAACATCTTCTTTCTGAAATCCAACCCCTCTAATTCAGGCCGACATTATGGGTATGTGGAAGCATAGGGTAGATACCCCGAGCAAATTAGAGCACTTTAAGCAGGAGTTTGACATCCCAGCCGACGTCCATCTGAGGTTGGCTGGGGAGGATGACTCTATCATGCCCACAGCTGATTCCATGCCCTTCCTTGTTGTAGCTTTCATCGAGTGCGGACTTCGGCTCCAACTCAATATCCTTTTTCATGAGATCATCCATTATTATAAGTGGAACCCAATGCAGCTTGCCATCAACTCCTATCGAGTTATTAATGGCATAATAGCCTTAGCCAAACAAGAAATTGTTAGGATTACCTTAGCCGACATCCAATACTGTTACACCATGTGTGGCCTCAAAAAAGATACAGGCTATGTTTACTACCTTAAGCCGAGGTCTACAGAGTATAAAATCGTAGCCGACCTTCCAGACTCCAACAAGGGAGTTGGAGACGATTACTTCATTACCTCGGGGAACTGGGAGCTTGCTCCAGACAAGGACCTCCACCTCTATCCTCTTCCTCAAACAGTTTTTGTAGAGGGCAATGGTAAGAGCCCTGTGTTCATACTTACTTGTTTTTTAAAGTCTTCAATACTTTGTTCATTCTAATGTCTGTTTTTTCTTGCAGCTCTTCCTAAGCCTTTGGAAGGGCTTCCGCCAGTCTTTTTACCCCAGCAAGGGTCTGAAGAAGCTACTAGACCTACCAGTTCACAAGCGCAGAGCTCCTCTAGTACTAAAATTCATTTCCACCTACAAATCAGTTCTGCCCGACATCCCAAAGAAGAAGAAGAAAAGCCTGTCACCTCCTTCTGCCACAACTCCTCCGGCTGCCTCCACTTCTCGGCTAGATCAAGGATCGACCTCTAATCCTGCTGAGCAGCCGTCAACCTTGGCTCCATACCTGATCCCGATATCCCAACGCCGTCAACGTCACCGAACAGTTTTTTCTTCCGAGATGGGCCGCCCAAAACCAGTTGCCAAAGATCTCCTGGCCAACATTCCATCTGATGTTGATGCTCAACCAGTTCCAATTCAGTCTCCAAATTCAAAGCAAAAACGGATCAAGAAGGCTCAACCAAAGGCAACGGTGACTCAGGTTGACACTGAGGACACCTTGCCAATCTCCAAATTGGCTGAGAGCGATAAGTCCCAATCTGCTGTCGAGAAGAGGCATGCCGAGGCCCAACCATCCGAGTCTACTCGATCAAAGAGGCCGAGGTCATCCGCTGCAACTACCTCGGGGTCTCGAAAGCACGATTCCCCTTGGGCCCCCAAAATCACGTTGGAAGATAAGCCAGTTATGGCTAACGATAGCGCCGATGACATTAATGTCGGCTTTTCCCTTAGTACCGCTCTGCTTCTTCCCGGCAATCTTGACCGAAACGCCGAGTTGAGCGAGTATGAAAACTATGCTCTGATGCTCCAGTGCTCTGTTCAAGTAAGTGTTTGTATTTGGTAATTTTTTCTTTCTCCCTCTTCATTTCATACTTATAATATATGCTAATAACTTCTATTCACTTTCAAGCCATTCAGCATGCTCATTCTTTCTCAGTGCAAGCTTTTGAGAATCGACAGAAGCTAGCTGACAAGAAGAGGGAGGTCACCAGTCTTCAGAAGTCTAATAAAAATTTGTAATCAAAGATGAATACCCTGGAGGATCAAGCCGAGGCCGCTATCAAAGCTAAGGACGTAGCCGAAGAAAAAGCGAGTGCTGCTGAGGCTACAAACAAAGTCCTTCAGGCCCAGCTGAAAGAGGCCGAGGATAAGACGGCCAAGGCCCAAAAAAATCTTGAAGATGCCTTGGCTAACAAAGAGGCCGAAATCAAGGCCGCCGACGAGAAGGCATATGCCGAGGGGATGGCCGATGTCACAGCGGACTACGAAAAGCAAGTGAAGCAGGCATGCAACAAGGGTTTCACCCTTGGTTGGATGTCTCTTCTAAAAAAGCTTGAAGTCCCCGAGGACTCGCCCCTCAGGAACACCGATGTCATTCCTCTTCCATTCCCTCCAACTCCAAGTCAATCCGACGATGAATCTGATTCTGAGGAGGAGACCTTAGTGAGGAAACCAAAGGAAGCAGCTGGGACCAAGTCCCCTTCTCTGAATGAGCAAGTCCTGGACTTGACTCAAGATGAGGAGGGTGATGAAGTTCCCAAAGATGCTACTGCTGAAAAGGCATCAATCGACGTGCCCCTTGCCGACAAAAGCCTTGACGAAACCCTTCAAGAAATTGATGTCGAGCTTGTGGCGGAAAAGGCTGCCGAGGTGTCTTCCCAACAATCGTCTGAACTTCAAACCCAACCAACTGCTACTGCTGAGGAGTCTTAGCTTTATGTTTTTACCTTCCTTTCTTGTACTTTTGTTTTTCTTTGTTGAAGTAATGTAAACTCTTTACGTCGCCGACGTTCCTTTAATACAACTTTTTCGCTTTTGAATGCTTGCATGTTTGCCTTGTATGCTTCCATACTTAGAATATTTTTGCATATCTTTAATATACACTTCAATCCTTGTGCAACCTTCTCAGGGTGACACACCTCGGTTATACAAACTAATGATTTACCTCGGCAAGTACCCAAGTACCTTTCTTTGCCTAAGCTTGGTTTCACATTGTAAATTTTTTCATAAAATTTCAACAAGTGTTTAACCTTAGTCTTCAACTTGTAAACTTTTCTCAAGTTTCAATAAGTGTTTAAACATCATCTCGGTTTAACTTTAACTTGTAAAATTTTCTCAAGTTTCAACAAGTGTTAAACATTATCTCGGTTTAACTTTAACTTGTAAACTTTTCTCAAGTTTCAACAAGTGTTAAACATTATCTCCGTTTAACTTCAACTTGTAAACTTTTCTCAAGTTTCAACAGGTGTTAAACATTATCTCGGTTTAACTTTAACTTGTAAACTTTTCTCAAGTTTCAACAAGTGGTAAAATCATCTCTTCTCTCTGCTCCCTAATGTGAACCTAAGTTCCACTTGGGTTCTCATTATACATGTATTCCAGAAACAACGTTATGTATCTTTATCAGTCGCAAGTGTACAAACATATAAACAAGTGAAAACTTTATTTATTTACTTCGGCAAATGACAGTTGAACAAAAAATTCTAATGATAGAAAAATTTCAAATTGCAAGTGTTCCAAGGCCTTGGTAACTCTTTGCCCTCATTATCTTCAAGCCGATATGCCTCATTGCCCAGTACTGAGATTATTCTGTAAGGTCCTTCCCAATTTGGGCCAAGCTTCCCCTCTCTGGGATCCTTTTTGTTGCCGACGACTTTTCTCAAGACGAGGTCACTGACTTGGAACTCCCTTGGGTTAACCTTCTTGTTATAAGCCCTGGTGAGCTGCTGTTGGTATACCACCAGCTGTTGCTGCTTTTTCCCTTCTTTCTTCCAATAAATCCAGATCTCGGGCTAAGAGTACATCATTAGTCCCATTCTCTACTCCCTGGGTTCTGATCCCAAGGATGCCGACCTCTAGCGGAATGACTGCTTCTATGCCATAAGCCTTGGCAAAGGGGGATTCTCCTATTGATTTTCTCGGCGTAGTCCGATATGCCCAGAGTACATTGGGCAACTCGTCTACCCACTTTCCTTTTGCTGCCTGCAGCCTCTTCTTTATCCCATCCAAAATTACTTTGTTGGATGCTTCTGCTTATCCATTGCTTTAGGGAAAGCTTGGTGTTGAAAAGTAGTTCTTGATCTTAAACTTTGCACAGAAGCTCTTAATCAGCTTACTGTCAAATTGTGTTCCATTGTCTGCAACTATTGCTCTTGGAATCCCAAACCTGGTGATGATATTTTTCCAAATGAATTTCTTCACATCCACATCTCGAATCTTGGCATGAGGTTCAGCTTCTATCCATTTGGTGAAGTAATCTGTGGCTACTAGTAAGTACTTCCTTTGCCCAGTTGCTTGGGGTAGTTGCCCAACGAGATCCATGCCCCATTGAGCAAATGGCCAAGGACTGGATATAGGGTTCAGGTTTGTTGCTGGTTGATGTATTAGAGGTGCAAACCTTTGGCACTTTTCACACTTCTTCACATAGGCTTCTGCATCTTTCTGCATGTAAGGCCACCAATATCCCCGGGTAATGGCCCTATGGGGGAGTGATCTGCCCCCAGCGTGGCTTCCACAAATTCCTTTATGTATTTCATATAAAAAATCTTCAACTTGTAAAGGATGTACGCACCTCAAAAGTGGTCCAATGAAGGATCTTCTGTAGAGATGTCATTTTGCTGTCAGACTGAATCTTGCCGACTTCAATCTGATCTTGTGTGCCTCCTTGTGGTCATCTGGCAGCTTCCCTTCTTTCAGGAATGCAACAATTGCATCCATCCAGCTTGGTCCCATGTCTACACACATTACTTCATACTCTGAGGTCAGTGGTTCGATGCTCGGGCCCGACAAATAGTCAACCATTATTGTCCTTGCTTTTTCAGGTTGTACTGCACTAGCTAGGTTGCCAATGCATCGGCGTGACTGTTATCATCTCGGCTAACCTGAAGTAGTCGGCAGTTCTGAAACAAGGCTGCCAACCTGATGACCTCTTTTGCGTAGGCCGACATCCTTTCATCTCGGGCAACCAACTCGCCTGTTATCTGGTTAACTATAAGTTGTGAGTCACAAAAGACTATTACCTCATCTGGTTGTATTGCTGCTGCCAGTTTCAGTCCTGCAATGAGTGCTTTGTACTCTGCTTCATTATTTGAGGCCTTGAACCCCAAACGAATCGATTGTTCTAGTACCTGTCCCTCTGGAGATATCAATACTACTCCTGCCCCTACTCCCTGTCGGGTTGAACTCCCATCAACGAACAGTCGAAAGGAGTCTCCGATGTAAATGCTGCAGGGTCTGAGTTTTTCTTCCTTTCTTTGTTCCGTTGCCCTTGGCTGGGCTCTTCCTTGCTTGTTTGGACATTGTTCATCCTGGCTCAGCGGAGCCCGATGTTTAATGGATTCTGGCATGAACTCGGCCACGAAGTCGGCCAAAACCTAGCCTTTTATTGCTGTTCTAGGTCTGTACCCCAGGTCATACTGGCCCAAGGCGACTGCCCATCTGGCTATTCTTTCTGTCAGGTCTCCTTGTTGCAGCAAGGATTTTAAGGGGTGTTCAGTTAGCACCACAATTCTATGGGCCTGGAAGTAATGGGTCAACTTCTTTGAAGCCATTACTAAAGCTAGTGCCAATTTCTCTAAGGGTAGATACCTTGTTTCTACATCGGCCAGGGTTTTGCTTACATAGTAAACAACCCTTTGTTCCCCTTTTTCTTCTCGGACTACCACTGCGCTTATCGCATGTTCTGAAACTGCTAAGTATAAAAACAGCTCCTCTCCAAGTTCTGGATTTGAAAGAACCGAAGCTATGGTCAGATACTTCTTTAGGTCGGCCAAGGCGGCTTTGCATTCTTCGGTCCACAGGAAGTCTGTGGCTTTCTTCACTAAGTTGAAGAAAGGTCTGCACTTGTCTGAGCTTCTGCTGATGAACCTATTCAGGGCTGCGGCCCTTCTAGTCAGCATTTGCAACTGTTTTGCCAACGTTGGGCTCTTCAGTTCTAGGATGGCCTTGATCTGATCTGGGCTGGCCTCAATGCCCCTTCTGGTCACCAAGTATCCCAAGAACTTACCGGATCCAACTCCAAATGCACACTTCGATGCATTGAGTCGGAGTTGATATGTTTTAAGGATTTCGAAGATTTCTTTTAGGTCGACCAGATGACCTTCATTTTCCTTGGTCTTTACAACCATGTCGTCGATGTAAACTTCCACCGTTCGGCCGATCAGGTGTCTGAACATCTTGGTTACCAGTCTTTGGTAAGTTGCCCCTACGTTTTTCAACCCAAAAGACATCACTTTGTAACAATACAGCCCTTTTGGGGTGATAAACGCAGTCTTCTCTTCGTCTGGAAGGTACATGGCTATCTAGTGGTACCCCCTGTAGGCATCCAGGAAGCTCATCCTTCCATACCCTGAAGTGGCATCCACTAGTTGGTCAATCTTGGATAGAGGAAAGTTGTCTTTGGGACAAGCCTTGTTCAGGCTGGTAAAGTCCACGCAGACCCTCCATTTACCATTCTTCTTCTTTACCACCACAGTATTGGATAGCCATGTCAGGTAGTTAACTTCTCTAATGGTCCTGGCCTCCAGAAGTCTGTCTACTTCTTCCTCCACTGCCTCGACGTGCATCAACGTCGGTCTTCTTGCTCGTTAGATTACAGGTTTGGCTGACCTGTCAACGTTCAGTTTATGGCAAGTGACCTCGGGGTCAATGACAGGCATTTCGTAAGGCGTCCAAGCAAACACCTCAATGTTTGTTCTCAAGAAAGCTTCTAACTCTTTTTCCTCTTCTTCGGCTAAGTTCGAGCCGAGAAGAAAGAAGCGTTCTTCATCCCCCTCCTGGACGAGGATTTTCTTCAGTGCCTCTTCACTCTTCTCGGCTGGCTCCTTGTCGACGTCTTCTAGGACTTTCACGTCCTCATCTTCAATTTCTGCCCTTTCTGGCTCTCATATACTGCAGGTAGATTTCATTGCTGCCATGGAGCAATTCTTCGCCTGCAGCTGATCGCCTCTGACTTCCTCTATCCCATGCTCTGTTGGGAACCGCAGTAGTTGATGCAATGTTAAGGGGACAGCCCTCATTGCGTGCAGCCATGGTCTCCCCAGGATTGCATTATATGGGGATGGTGTGTCAATTACGGTGAACTCTGTCTTTATCTTCTTGGTGCCTGCCTGCACCTCCAAGCTCGTTGTTCCCAGTGGCCATGTCGGCGTTCCATTGAACCCGACCATTGGGCCATTGGATTGCTCCATATCATCTGGGTGAAGGCCAAGCTCCTTGTAACATCTGACATACATGATGTCACAAGAGCTGCCTTGGTCAATCAGGATGCGCTTTACTTGGTATTCCCCAACCTGGAGAGATACTACCAAGGAATCATTATGTAGATGTTGCACCATCTCAAGGTCGACTTCTGTAAAGGACACTATTGGTCCCTGGCACTCCTCTGTCCGATGTCTCTTCTCCCTGACATGGTAGACATGCTGCAAGTGCTTCACCTTCTGAGTTTCCCCCCTAATTTCGTTCTCGTTGACCTTCGAGTGAATTACATTAATTATTCGAGGTCCTCTTGCCTGGAGTTGCTGTGCTGGGGGAGGCAGAGCTGCTGGTGCCTAAGGTAATCTTGCCTGTTCTTTCCTTATCCTGGTCTCATCGACAAGGTCTCTTAGATGTCCTTACCTCACCAGGTTTTCTAAGTGTGTTTTTAAGGCTCTACAACCCTGAGTCATGTGCCCATCTTCATTGTGGTAGGCACAGTGCCTGCTAAGGTTTCTTCC